ACCAGAACAGACATAATGAATCTAATCATCTAGCAGTATCTTTTTTGTTCTTTTGTTTTTTTTTTTAAGAGATGGAGTTTTATTTTGTCGCCTTTGGTAGAGTGCTATGGCATCATAGCTCACAGCAACCTCCAACTTCTGGGCTTAGGTGATTCTCTTGCCTCAGCCTCCCGAGTAGCTAGGACTGTAGGCACCCGCCACAACATCTGGCTATTTTTGTTTGTTTTTGCAGTTTGGCTGGGGCCGGGTTCAAACCTCGGTATATGGGGCTGGCGCCCTACTCACTGAGCCACAGGAGCTGCCCCCTAGAAGTGTCTTTTTAAGCTTTTTTTTTTTGGCCCTGGCTGGATTTGAACCTGCCACCTCCAATATATGGGGCTGGTGCCCTACCCCTTTGTGCCACAGGCACCACCCTAAGCTTTATTTTTTTAATAGATTAATAATCACTTTGTTGAAACTAAATAAATTCATACAGAAAAGCCCTCCCAGCCTTACTTCTCTCCCTGTAGATACTACGGGAGAGATTTTATATACAGACATATAAGAAAGTGAATATGTGACACATCACAGATTCTATACATTTCTGAACCCACAGTGTACCCTGAAAATTAGTCCCTTATTTTTTTCCTACAACCCTAACATGTTGAGTTTTTAAATGAGCCCCTTACTGATGAGCATTTTAGTTGTTTTTTGTTTTTTCTATCCTAACTCATACCTTGTTTTAGTATTTTTGGACAGGTACAATAAAATATGAGCTTTAGATTGGGTGACTTATAAATAATAGAACTTTATTGCTCACAGTTTTGGTGGCTAAGAAGTTCACAATTGAGGCACCAGCAGATTCATTGTCTGGGGAAGCTTTCCATGCTTCAGAGGTGGTGACACCTTTTTGCTATGTCCTCACATGGCAGAAGAAACAGAAGGGCTGGCTCAGCGCCTATGGCTCAAGCAGCTAAGGCACGAGCCACATACCACCTGAGCTGGTGGGTTCCGATCGAATCCAGCCGGGGCCCGCCAAACAATGATGGCTGGAACCAAGAAATAGCTGGGCATTGTGGTGGGCACCTGTAGTCCCAGCTACTTGGGAGGCAGAGACAGGAGAATCACTTGAGCCTAGGAGTTGGAGGTTGCTGTGAGCTGTGATGCTACGGCGCTGTACCCAGGATGACAGCTTGCGGCTCTGTCTGAAAAAAAAAAGAAAGAGAAGGGATGAGGCTATTCCTTTCAGCCTCTTTTTATAAGGTCACTAATCCCATGTCCTCATGACTTCCGCAAAGGCCTCACTTCTTTACCACTTTTGAGTATTTAGATTTCAACATATAAATTGGGGGAGGGCAACATTCAGACCATAGCACTTATCTTAAGCCTTTCTACATGTTTGAAACTAATGCTTGAAGCATGCACCTTCACACTGATAGAATTGTCATTGTTATTTGGCATGCCCGGGCTGGATTTGAACCCCCCAACTCCAGGGTATGTGGCTGGTGCCCTTGCCTCAGAGCTACAGGAGCCGAGCCAAGTTACATGCTTCTATTACTACTTCTGCCCTAATGAATTTCAATGCAGAGCTACAACCCAAACCTCCCCTGAACTCCAGACCCACATGTCTAGCAGCCTGTGGATAAATTTTTTTTATTTTTTTGGCTTACGGATATTTTTATCTAGATGTCAGTTGGGAATCTTAAACTTGGTATATCCCTTATGGTATTTATTACATTCCCCCTCAAAAAGCTTTTCTTTTTATTTCTATCTAGGTCAGTGTTTTGTTTTTGTTTTTGTTTTCCTTCGAGACAGAGTCTCACTATGTTGCCTTCGGTAAAGTGCCGTGGCATCACAGCTCACAGCAGCCTCAAACTCTTGGGCTTAAGCGATTCTCTTGCCTTAGCCTCCCAAGTAGCTAGGACTACAGGCGCCTACCACAGCACCCAGCTGTGTTTTGGTTGCAGTTATCATTGTTGTTTAGCAGGCCAAGGCTGGGCTAAGATGCACCAACTTCGATGCCAGTGCCCCTACTCACTGAGCTATGGGCGCTGAGTCTGGTCAGTGGTTTTTAACCTTTTTATAAATATCATGGCACACTTCAATCTATAGTTAAACTTCCACCGCACATTTAGATCAGTGGTTCTCAACCTTCCTAATGCCGTAACCCTTTTCATTGCGAAAATAATTTCGTGGTTGAGGTCACCACAACATGAGGAACTGTATTAAAGGGTCGCGGCATTAGGAAGGTTGAGAACCATTGTTTTAGATTATATTGATCAAAAAAATATATATACTTACTGTGCTTTGAACTTGTTTCAAAAATATTTTTATGATTTTTGAAAGTGTTTTTTTTTTTTTTTTTTTTAAGAGACAGTCTCACTTTGTCACCCTCCATAGAGTACATGACATCACAGGTCACAGCAACCTCCAACTCCTGGGCTTAGGCGATTCTTTTTCCTCAGCCTCCCAAGTAGCTGGGACCACAGGTGCCAGCCACAACAAAGTTTTTGAGGCACACTGGTTGAAAGTCATTGATCTAGGTAAATGAATTCCAGTTCTCTAAACCAAAACCTCAATTTGTCCCCATCATTTTCCAGACCCAACAACTAAACCTGTAAGTTTCGACCACTTTAACACACCTCATCCCCATTTTTCTCCTCTTGATCTTATTCTGCTGTTTGGTTCAACAAATACATTCTAGCTAATGTTTGAATTCTCTGTGGTAGTTTTTAAAGATCTATTGTAGTGGTTAAAGTGGAATTTTACCAGTTGAGGAATTATCTTAAGAGGTGATTTCACTCAGTGAACTGGTATGCAACATGGTGGTAGTTTTAAAATAGCATATTAGTGTCATTTTGTGTAACATTTTTGGAATCTCTATCAGACAGAGTTATAGAAAACCTCCCAAACGAATTGGGAACATTACAGTTGTATTGAAGTTCATGTGGATAGGTGATTGCAGATGACCTTTTTAAAAAAATTTTGATGTTTAGTTAAATGTATGTTTAGTTTTTTTAATACAGAAGGAATAATTTAAGCATTCCACATTGTATATCAAATCATCACATTTTACCCCATAAGTGTATATGGTTATGATTTAATAAAAATTAAGTTTAAAAAAATACAGAAGGAATACATGCTTGTAAAAAACTTAGTTCAGGTATGATTATAATAAATGGTCTCTGGCATTCTCCCACTTCTTTACCCAGAGACTGCTTTCTGTCCATTTACAAAGTTCCAAGCACTACTCTATACTACAACTTTATGGAAACTGAGGCATAGAAAGGTTAAGTCACTTGCTCAAGTTTACCCAGGTTCTGAGTGCCAGAGTAGAGCCAGGATTCCAGTCCAGACATCTGTGTCCAGAGCCCAGCTTTTGTCAAAGTTGAACTCTCAACATTTCAGATGTACTGATTTCTTATTGAAAGAGGGAATAATGGCATTGGTATTTAGAGAAAAAAGGAGAGAAGGAAGGGAAGAAGTAAAAGGATGCCTGCATGCATCCTGAAACCAGGGCTTCTGAAGAGGAAGTAGATAGAGTAGTGAGAAGGAGTAAGGCACATAAGGGCATTATGGGTATGACTGACTTGAAATCGGTTTCATTCTAAATAGGGGGAAGGAAATGGTGGTACAGAGAATAACAAGTACCTACTTTATAACTGATAGCTGTTACGAGAGCAGCATTGCTGGATTTTCTGGGAGAAAATGACATTGTTAATAATTCCAGTTTCCTTTTCAAACTGTGTGCACGCATGCATTCCTGCTAATGCTCTTAAACTAGGTAGATTCACTGTAAGAATGCCTTTGTGGGGTTAGTTAAAAACTAATTTGTGGCCAGGTATGGTAGCTCACGCCTGTAATCCTAGCACTCTGGGAGGCTGAAGCCAGTGTATTGCTTGAGTTCAGGAGTTCGAGAACCGTCTGAGCAAGAGCAAGACCCTATCTTTACTAAAAAGTAGAAAAACTATCCAGGATTGTGGCGCGCACCTGTAGTCCCAGCTACTCAGGAGGCTGAGGCAAGAGGATTGCTTGAGCCCAGGAGTTTGAGGTTGCTGTGAGGTTTGACATCAGTACGCTTAACCCCAAGGTGACTGAGTGAGACTCTGTCTTAAAAAAAAAAAAAAACTAGCTGGGTGCCCGTTGCTCAGTGGTTAAGGTGCCGACCACATGCTCCAGGTCTGGTGGGTTCAAACCCGGCCTGGGCCTGCTAAACAAACTAAAAAAGATAGCTGTGTGTTGTGGTGGGTACCTATAGTCCCAGCTACTGGGGAGGCTGAGGCAAGAGAATCGCTTGAGCCCATGAGTTTGAGGTGAACAATGCTGCAGCACTCTACTGAGGATGACAAAGTGAGACTGTTCTCAATTTAAAAAAAAAAAAAAACCAAAAAACTGGGCGGCGCCTGTGGCTTAGTAGGTAGGGAAGAAAAGAATAGCCGGGCCTTGTGGTTGGCACCTGTAATCCCGGCTACTCACGAGGCTGAGGCAAGAGAATCGCATATAACTCAGATCTTTGTTTTAGACTCTTGCATCTTGATCCCTTCCCAGTGTCAAGATAATCTTGGTAAAGATTAATAAAAGAGTTTGAAAATGTGTTAGTGTAGAAACTGCTAGCCAGAATCTCTTAGTGATCTTAACAGGAAACATAAAGCTTTCCTCTTTTTCTGTGGTCATCTCCTGGGTTTTAAGATAGCTTTAGGCTAAAGGGGTATCTTCACTGTGCATTTGCATTTACATAAAGCTACTTTTAGGGCAACAGACTTGGGTAAAGGAATGGGGATACACTTTCGCTTACATCTTAAAAACCTCAGTTTCTGTTTCTGGAAAATAAAGAGTGTACGTATATTGTGATACATCATTCCATTTTTGAACCTATTCACATACTGCTACTAAAGGCTTAATACATTCTTCATTTATAACTAAGAACTAAGTCTAAGAGGCTGCTATATGTGGGTGTTTTTGCATTGTTCATTTTCAGTGTGTTTTTGAAAACTTATCCTTTTTTTCTTTGTTTTCCACAGGTTCGAGAACTTGTCTTGGACAATTGCAGATCAAATGATGGAAAAATTGAGGGCTTAACAGCTGAATTTGTAAACTTGGAGTTCCTCAGTTTAATAAATGTAGGCTTGATTTCAGTTTCAAATCTCCCGGAGCTACCTAAATTGAAAAAGGTAAGTACTAACGGTAAAAAGAGAATCATCCTGAGAAAGGAAAATGCATAATTTTACCTCAAAGGACACATTCGGAATAGCAGAAAGCACATACATAGTCCTTGGAACTGGGCAGATAGGGGATTGAATTCCAGCTCTATCTTTTCCTTAATGGGTGATCTTCTGCAGGTTACCTACCTAATCTCTTTAAGGCCTAATTTCCTCACCTATAAACTGGTGACATTACTTGACCTGGCAGAATTGCTTTAGTGTTTGGAAATAATGCATGTTGGATGCCCAATGAATAGTAGTTATGAAGAATAAGTATTGTGTTTTGTGAGTAATTTATTGTCACTCATTGTTATAGTGTTAGTTAAGTAGGTTTTGTTAGTATGCTCTGGTTCAGGAACCACAGGTGCCTCCCACTTTCCATATTTTATGTTTGTAGAATAAGGCTAAGTTTAAGTAAAGACTTTCAGGTTTATAGTCTATGATAATTCAAACTCATTATGTAATTTTAATGACTAGAAAGTTTAAAATATGTTGTGATTGACTAGAGTAATTCAGTATAACAAGTTACTGTGTTTCCCCTTCCCGGTTGATGGCTCATTGTTAGTGCTTTACTACTGTAATTCTAACTAGTTTTCTATCCCCTTCCAATTCCTCCCCTCCCCAAAAAAGTAAAAATGCTAAAGAAAAATGTCTCATCTTGGCCTTGCACATTTAACTGTCACAGAACCCCAGAATGTTAGAGCTGAAAGACACTTTGATCTTTTAGCCCAGCCCCTTGTTTTATAGGTATAGCAAAGACCCAGAAAGGTATAGTAATTTGCCTAAAATGGCCCACAGAAATGGTTAGTGCTAGAGCCCCTATCTCCTAACCTTTTGCATTTCATAGGAAAAGATGTGTGGTTATCTAAGTCTTTCATAATTCTCTACTGTTTTAGTATTCACTTTATTAGAAGACTTCAACAAAAATTGAAGCTTTTATTTAAACAAGAGCGTTCATAATTAAACTTTAGGCAAAGGGCAGGGAGGTTCTTGCTTGCTTGCTTGTTAAAAACAAGAAGGTTTTGTTGTGTGTGTTTGCTTTCTTTTCCCTTCTTTGCCTTCGTTAAGTAAATAAATGGTTAGCTAGTCCTCATGAGTTTCAGGTAGTAGTGTTTGGTTTTTTTTGGGGGGGGAGTCAGTCTCACTTTGTTGCCCTCAGTAGAGTGCCACAGTGTCATAGCTCACAATAACCTCAGATTCTCAGGTGCCTGCTACAACTCTAGGCTATTTTTAGAGACAGGGTCTCACTTTTGGCTCAGGTGGTCTCAAACTCCTTGACTCAGGCAATCCACCCGCTTCAGCCTCCCAGAGTATTGGAATAATAGGCATGAGCCACTGCGCCCTGCCTCAGATAGTAAGTAGTGTTTCTGATGAAAAAATTCCCCTTTCTAAGTATCTACTTTAGAAGTTCAAGTATAATCCTTTTATATTGGAATCTCTGATTAGCCCAGTTAAACACAAGATGGCTTTTGCTAAAGTTTACATAAACTTGATGCTAGAAGATTCTTAGTCTATGTTTTGTGTTCTGTTTTGCTTTCCTAGCATTCTTATATATATTTTCCTGAATTACTGTGGTCTCTGTACTATCAGGCAGAAAGTCAACCTGTCAATGATCATGCATGTGGGAATTTTAGGAAATCTTTCTTAGGTTTTTAAATACTAATCACATCCCTTATAGAACAAATGAAGAGAATAATACTCAAAGGTAGACCCAATGTTCTCATACCTGATAAGGACTTTATTTTTCCTACCCCAGAGCACAGACAGTTATTACTAAGAAACAAGTACTGAGAAAAAATCTGATGTATAAATGTCACGAGTTTCTTAAATTTACACATTTATTTTATTTCAAAATAAGTGTACTGCTAAATGCTTCAGTGGATTGCATTGTTATTCCTACTCCAAGGTAGTCATGTTGAAAAGATATGACTATTATATGTGATAGTGTAATCGCATGGTCTAAACATATAAGAAAAGTTGTCTGTTTTTTGATTGACTGAAATCACCAATAAAACACTTGAATCTTTGATCATAGGCTTTGCGGCGGGGGGGGGGGGGGGTTGTAGTTGTCATTGTTTGGCAGGCCAGGGCTGGATTCAAACCTACCAGCTCCGGTATATGTGGCTGTTGCCCTAGCTGCTTGAGCTACAGGCACTGAGCCATGGACTAGAAATGTAAATAGGCATTTGAAAGTTCTCTACTCTGCATCATGTAGTACATTGCATTGCATACCAAAGACTTCCTTATATGAGATTTTCATGTTATTCTAGGTATGTAGCATAATGGAGTGGGTGTGGGTACTTAACAAGGCAAGCTGCCTGGCTTCAGATTATAGGCCCACCACATTAACAGTTGGGCAAGTTAAGTACTCTTTTTGTAGTAAATGGGGGTAGTAATTCTACCTGCCCTATAGGGTTATTGTGAGATCATATTAATTAATATATTTCTAGTGTTTTGAAGAGTGCCTGGCACTTAAGAACCATAGGTAAGAGTAAGATATGGTTGGGCAGTATCTGTGGCACAAAGGAGTAGGGCGCCTGCCCCATATACCGGAGGTGGTGGGTTCAAACCCAGCCTTGACCAAAAACTGCAAAAAAAAAAGAGTAAAATATGGTTGTTATTGTTGTTGGCACTTTAAAATAGAGAATTAGAACCAGCTGTGTGGCCTGAGTTTTCTTGTCTACAAAAGGAAGAGTTTGGATTAGATGTTCTCCAGTGTTTTCCAGGCTCCAACTCCTTGTGGTGTAAAATTTTATGTTACGTATTCCTTGGTGAAGTCTCACTCCTTCAATGGCACATCACTTGCTTGTGCTACTTGACCTGCAGCTAAGAAATTAGAGTAGGATCTAATAAAGGCTAGTGCCAGATTTATGCGAGTGGCCTCTGGGGAGCTGATTCATAACCTGAGGCTGTTGCCCCACTCCCTTACCTGAGGTCATGGAGCTTCTTTATGGGCTCATATGTGAGGTCTCTCCTGCTTCTGTACCTTCAGAGTAGCATTCTCTAGTGCTACCTTAGGTTTTAAGAAAACATTGTAAACTTGCTTGGCATACAACATAAGCCATTCAGAAGCAGGGACTATTTCCCCTTTCTGACAAGTATATACAGTATGACCACTTCTCAAAGAATTCTGATAATTCTGATTTGTTTTGACCTAGGTTAGAAAATGTATTCATTGAGGCCAGTTTGAGGCCAGTTTTCAAGCAACTGTCATTATCTGGTTAAGAAAACAGTTTAGGTCTCACTCTTCTGTCTTTTTACCTTTCTATGTCCCCCACCAAATATTTCTGGGGTCTATAAACGTATTTGGGTTCAGTTCAAGTAAATGAACATACATGCCCTAATGTAAATAGGGATCATTTGATATTGATAAGTATTAGAAGGCTGTATTTGCTATTTATAACACCCTCGTGTTTTTCTGTTGTTTGTGTGTGTGCTTTGTGCATTTTCTCTTGCAGCTTGAGCTCAGTGAAAATAGAATCTTTGGAGGTCTGGATGTACTAGCAGAAAAACTTCCCAATCTCAAACATCTAAACTTGAGTGGAAATAAACTGAAAGATATCAGCATCTTGGCACCTTTGGTAAGAAATTGAGAATTTGGAAACTGGGATTTGTCATTTTCATTTTCATATTTCTTTGTAGTGGGAGAAATTATTGGGAATAATAAATGATTGAGAAAGTGATGGTTTTTTACTTTTAGGTGTCCCAATTTTAAAGATCAGAGCCTCTCAAATTAAATGTATTCTTGTGGCTTTGCTCTCCCTGCCTGATATTATGAAGGCTTCTTTCAAAAGGAAATTCTTGGGAGTTTTTGTTTATTTGGTCCTTATTTGACTGTAGCCTTAAACATGTCTCTTAAAATTTTTTTCCATTTGACCAAGCCATTTTATACTTTTATCCTTATACAGAAAAGGCTATTTATATTGGGTGGCATATGCAACTTATAGATGGAACAATCAAGAACAGTTCCAATAAGTGTAGGTTGTCTAATTCATAATCTTGTGCTCTAGCTTGATTGCCTAAAGTTTTGTGTGGAAAACTCAAGATCCTTCCCTGTCTTACATATTGGTATATGTCACAAAAAGCTGTTTAAGTGCCACTTGTGTTGTAGACTGATTTGTTGTGTGACCTTGGGCAAATTGTTTCTTCTCTCTGGGCCTCAGTTTCCTCATTTATGAAGCAGGGAAGACAATAATTCTCTTTCTTACCTACCTCATTTAGGGCTTCTGAGAAGGAAATAATACACTTTATTTGTAAATTGGGGAGCTGTGATAAAGGAGGGTCTGGTTGGTGTGGAAGTCAGTGGCCAGGACTGGAGGTAGGGATTAATGCAGGTTCTAGGGAAACACCATAGGCCGTGCTGTTTGGGAGAAGGTTATGTACTAGAGAGAGGCTATCTTTTAGGTTCTAGAAGAGTGGGGCCAGGAGGATAAAATATTCTTCTCTATTGTTTCTATTCTGATGTCACCGTACATTAACAATACATGGATTTTATATCACTTGTTGATACTTTACGGAATAATAAAGTTAAATTGTGGCTTCTTTTTTTTTTTTTTTTGAGACAGTGTCTCACTTTGTCACCCTTGGCAGAGTACCATGGTGTCACAGTTTACAGCAACCTCCAGCTTTTGGGCTTCGGTGATTAGTAGCTGGGACTACAGTCACCCGCCACAACCCCCAGCTATTTTTTGTTGCGGTATGGCTGGGGCCAGGTTTGATATTTATCGAACCCTCAGGGCTGGTGCCTACTCACAGGCACTGCCCAAATTGTGGCTTCTTTTAATGAAAAGGATTTCCTGTCAGAGTTAGAGGGTCTTTTCCTTCCTAAAAATTAAAATTCCACTCCAGTACAGATATAATTTTACCTTTTACTGAGTCTTTTACTTCTACATTGCATTAAGTGGACCATTTTTTAAAAGCTCATGTTTCTCTTAAGTGTCAGGAGCCTCTTTCTCACTTGTGCTTCATGAGTTTTTTACCCTTTAGTTCTATTATAAATATGCTCAGATATTCGGGCTTCTTTATTTTTACTAGTTCTATTCTCTTCCTCAAACCTATCACTATTCCCAATGTTTAAGCAGACATTTATTGAATTTTGCTGTATCCGAGGACTTTATTTATTTATTTTAGACAGAGTCTCACTTTGTCACCCTTGGTAGAATGCCGCAGCATCACAGCTCACAGCAACCTCAAACTCTTGGGCTTAAGCGATTCTCTTACCTCAGCCTCCTGAGTAGCTGGAACTACAGGCACCTGCCACAATGCCCGGCTATTTTTTAGTTGCAGTTACCATTGTTGTTTAATAGGCCTGGGCTGGGCTCGAACCCAACACCTTCATAGTATGTGGCTGGCACCCTACTCACTGATCTACAGGCACGAGCCTATATCCAAGGACTTTTAACATTTGCCCATTGTATCCTCATATAACCCAGGGAAAAGAGAATGACTGTCTTCTTTTTAGAGAGAGTTTTTAGAAAGCTGAGGTTAGAGAGCTTCCGGATAAATGGCAGAGTAGGGATGCAAACCCAAGTCTACTGTTGTTTCCACTGCCTTTGGAACTTGTTCTTGTGCCACCTGCAAATTTACCCAAATTTCCCTAAGCTAGGAATTCCAACAGGAGCACTAAATTAAGTGCCATGCTGTGTCAGTCGTCACATAAGCCTTTGTTTAGTGGTTAATGACAGTCATGTCAGTTCTGAGTGTCTGAGCATAGGAATCCCGTCTCTTTTTTTCTTTTTTCTTTTAAGGACAGGGTACTGGGGAGTACCTTTTTATGCTAGATCACTGGCTATTGCCTAATTCTCATGGCAACCTGATTCCACTTTGATTATCAGAAGCCTTTCTCTGTGTGCTAGAGGAACCTGATTCCTCTGGTACACATGATCGCAGCAGAAGCAAATGTAATGTATGGGATGGTTTGCTTGAGTGTTCTTGATCTGGTCAGTAATGTTTGAGGGCCTCTTTGATGGCTGTGAAAGTCTGGGTGGCCCAGGATAGCGAAAGACGAGAAGTAGACTTCGTTTGTGTTATATTTATGATTTTGAGAGGATCTGCTATTTCCATAAATTGTCTTGGGTGCTTGACGTGTGTTACCTAATTAATACAAAATAATCTTACTAGTATACAAAGTGGATAGAAGTATTATGTCCCTTGTTTTACACTGAGGAAGCTAAGGCTTGGGTGAGGCTGAACCCCTGTCCAGAGTCACACACATTCTGTGGCAAATCCACAGTGCTACACGCCAGGCCCATCTGAAAAAGCCTAGCTCTTGCTATTCTGTTGTACTTGCTGTTCAGATTCCTGTGATGCTATGTTCATCTCCTGAAGTTCTAACTTAGAATAAAGTAAATTTGTAGGAGGAAGTGAAGGGGGGGAATGTTGAATTCATTTTGACTTCTGAAAGTATTCTCAGTGGGGAAAAAAACACCATCCTCATCCTCATTAACCACATACATTTTGAACACCATCTACTTTGAGCCCAGTTCGTAACAGTCAATGCAATGATTGTGAATGCCTCTGCTTGCTACAGGGACATTAATCGAGAGACAAAGAAGGCATCAATTCAAACTTCCTTGGACACCTTTTTTATGAGACCTGGGCCATCCAAATCATCCCCCAAAGCCCTTCTAAATTCTAAGAAGGCAAGCAAAATTATTGTTAATAAAATGTTTAATGTTTATTATGGCTAGCCTATTAGCTTACATCAAATTTCGGGTGTGATAGACTTGTAATTTTCTTAGCAGTATTTACATATTAAATTGGATCCTGAATCTGTGTGCAGTGTATTTTGTGCCTTTTGAGCCTTAAAGCAAAATTTTATCACTTTAAACAGTTCTCGAGGACTACAGTTGTTTGGGATTTTTTGTTGTTTACTTGCTTTCATTTTCTAGCTACTCTTTGGCATGTCCAGATTTTTGGATGATGGGTATTTTATCAAGAAATAGCCAAAATCCCACATAATCATACAGTTTCAGAAACAGAGCCCCATATGCTGTAATAGTCAGTAAAACTCAAGCAAGGTTTTGGGACTGAAAAATATAAGTATCAGAGGTTGTGTTTGTGCACCCATTCCTAGGAAATAATTTTGAGATGTAAATGGCTCGTTTCTTCTAAGTGGTAAATTTTTAGACTTAGCCTCTTTGGGAAAACTGCCTAAATGTACTTATGGTTGTATCTTACCTAGTATAGTCAGCCCTTGTGAAGAGAAAGCCAGTAGCTAGCTAGTTGTCTGGGGTGACATTGCACCATTTTTTCCTTCTTTGGCAAGAAGTTATACCTGGACTTTGAAGGTCAGGCCTGCCCAGTAGGCCACCTAATCTGAAAGTTACATGATAAAAATGGAATTCTCCCTACCAGAAGAGCTAGGAATAGTTTCCTGAAGATGTTAGGGAACTGACTTAAATACAAGCATGTTATTTGATCCACAAATTCTAGGATTGTTGAACATTTGGGGTTTGAGGGGCACAACATGTGTCTGTTGTTGTAAGACCCTGCTCTGTGTTCCCTTGCTGGCTAAGTTCTCAAGGGCTACTTGGTGAGAGTAAAACAAATGTGGGCACATCTTAATTGGGAAAATGACGTTTCTTTTTGTGTAGGGTCACATACTACTAGATAGATAACATACTAGGCTTTGTAGGCCATATAGTCTCAGTCACAACTACTCAACTAGGCCATAAAAGGAGCCATGCATGGGTCATTACAAAAGCTTTAAGAAACATAAAAAAATCAAGAAATATAAAAGCCACATGGAAAGGAAACAAATAAGGCCCTCTCAGCAACACCAAAAAGCTGAGCCAATTGAAACTTGGACAGGTGAACCAGAAAGGGTGCTATTGACTATGTTTCTTGGAAGTGAAATAATGGATCATAACATACTTAGTCTCAAAACTTTTTCTTTCTTTCTTTCTTTCTTTTTTTTTTTTTAGAGACAGAGTCTCACTTTGTTGCCCTCGGTAGGGTACTGTGGCGTCACAGCTCACAGCAACC